AAAAACTTAAGCAATTTCTTGATGCTTAACTTAGGATCAAACTCTGATGCGGACAGGCTCTGCACATCTAACAGCTTCCACTGAATTTATGGGAACTGATGGTGTTGAGCACATCACAGGACCATGTCCTTAACTGTTGTTCCCTTTTTCCCATGACATACTGCAGTTGGCACTCGGATATAATTCAATACACATAGAATATTGAAGCATATAATCTTTACAAAAAAGGGGGGTGGAAATCAAGAAATAATGAAAAAATTAAGTCAGGAGTGTTGTCAGAGAGGGGGAAGCAGACCTATTAACTCCAATAATGAGAAGTGTGATTTCCTGAGATAAGGCACTAATTCAGGAGGCTCCTGATGTTCCCAAAGCCATCAGGGATGGATTTATTTTGTGGCTGTAAGACAGAAAGGAGAACACTTACAGAGTTCGTTCTTTGCTTTTTTGAAATTTGGTCACCACTGTCTTCAGAATTGTTTGTGGGTGATTGGCTTAGTTTCCTTTTTCGGGATGCAGCTTTAAAAATATAGAAGAAAAAAGCAGAATTGAAAATTACATCAATTAGAAATTCATCCTGAAACAGCAGAATCGTTCAAATCAACATTACAGAAGCTACCAATTATGTGAACTTTGAGAAATACCAGATATTAACAAACGTGAGAATTTGTGTAAATACACCCATCCTTTTAATACAAAACAGCATAGGAACCAATTATTTTTAGGCAATATAGAATCAATATGAATTTTACAACAGAATTTTAAGCATCTGGGAGCAGAAGCAATGAAACATTCTATTCTAATAAAAATTTAAATTTAAATTTAAAAACCTATTCCCTTTGAACTATACTTTTCATCTCTGTTAATGTTAAGAGGGTGGACTCAAATACTGCACAAAATTTAACAATATGTAAAAAAAAAGTTTCCATTGTACCAGATGGTTTAAAGGGAATATGCAAATTATGAACATAAACATGTATTCAGCTATGTGTCTTTTTTGTGATATTTAAGGAACCTAAAAATGACACACAACTTATGTAGGACTCCAAATTTAGGTTTTGTAAAGAGGAATGTTATAAAAAACTTAATATCAAATTAGTGCAATACAATAGAACTTCAGAGTTATAAACTGACCAGTTAACCACACACCCTGCATAACAGTCTCACAGGAAGGGCAATGTTTGAAGCCCAGGGATTCTGTGCTGAACCAACACCTCTGGGCTTCAGAAGAAGAACAAACAAAAGGGACAAAGAAAAATTATTGTTATTTACACTAAACCTAACTAAGAGCTAGCTAACACAAGAATTTAGTGTTAAACGCTTAAAAGGAACCATAAGCTGGAGCTCCAATTCGCAGTGGAGAGGGGGCAGTGGGGTAAGAGGAACTGAAAGGGGGTTGGAGCAGCTCAGTCCTCTACACCCTTGGTTGCATGCATGGGGATGCACTGGGGCACATGTGCTGCCCTGACAAGTACTAGTGACAACTGATCTGGTAACAAAGACCTACAGTGATATACAGATGTGCACAAGAACTCAAACATCCATGGAGTTCAGTCAATAAACACCAATATTACCACCACTTCGTAACATACTAAAAAGAAAAGTGAACTAAATTCTATAAGCCACTGATTTAATTTCATACTTTGTTTCCATTCTGTCTTTCAGGGTTGAACAGAACACTCAAATAATATAACTATACCTTTTACATAAAATTTGAGAATTTATGTATTCAATATTTTAATCTTTAATTTTAATATTAAACCATTAAAACTGTTCATACTTCTTACGAATTGTTTAAATGAAGAAACTGGTTAGGACTCAATTTCTGGCTATAAACAGGAGTTCTGACATGAGCCAGAGAGAATCTGGAGAACAAAAGGTAATTAAGAATTTTGCCTATTCTTCCTCTCACCCAATCAGCTGTAAACTTTCACAAAAAGAAAAAACATTATGTGTTGAGGCAGGAAAGCAGGTGTTCAGTGATGCCTCCTCTTCTAAAAACGGGCCCAAAGTCAGATGATTTATGCCACTGCATTCAGGCATGCTTACTCCTGCCTAAATCTTTTAAATGAGAGCAACAGATGTCATTTTTGTCAGAATTTTACTTCCTAGGACACCTGTTTCTGTGGGCTTGTAGGCAAGGACATGAAATTGCATTTTTGTATGAAAAAGTATGGCTAAAAGGTAAAGCCCGTATACTAGAAATCAAACTTGGCATGAGCTCATAGCAAATATTTTGGTATGAACATTTTAAAAATGCGATACTGACTTTTATAAAATTAATTTTAACTTAAAATAAATTTGGTAATAATAATAAAACCCACTTAATTTAGGATTAATTTTCTTCCAGGTGGGACTTCCCTTATTTCTTGAAACAGGTCTAGATAAGCATTCCATCTCCAGCAGATCTCTAAGTTTTATCTTTCAATTACTAGCATCACAATTCTCATCCTCAACATATCATACCTATAATGGTAATTTCAAATGCTTTTTGAGATCAGAAAGTATAAACTCGCTGTAGACTCAAACACACACAACACAACACAGTAAGTATTAAAACCATTTGATAGTACTAAGCATCTGTCATAGCTATATTATCAATAGACCAAAGTCTCAAGATGCATAGAAGATCATTGTACATAAATTACTTCCTAATGTAAGCAAGCACAGTGAATGGGAGAGATGAAAAAACTAGTTTCTCTTAGGGCATAGGAACACTAAGCTGTTGCTGTGCTAATGTCACAAAACACTAACATGAAATCTTTATCATGAAAGACATCTTGATCATTTAAAGCAGGGGTAGGCAAATCTTTTGGCCCTAGGGCCACATTGGGTACAGAAATTGTATGGAGGGCCGGGTAAGGGAAGGCTGGGGGAGGCTATGCCTCCCCAAACAGCGAGGCGTGGCCTCGCCCCTGCCCCCTATCCAGCCCCCCAGAACCCCCACCCCCAGCCAACCCCCCTGACTGCCCCCCAAGACTCCTGCATCCTATCCAATCCTCCCTGCTCAACGCACCCCACGTTACCTGTGGGGTGGGGGAAAGGGTCTCAGTCTGTGTGTTTCCCCTGATCATTTGGCTGCTCTCCCTGGCAGTCGGGCAGGGCTCGCTCCCTGTCTGGGCTTGGCTGCTGGGGACAGGGGCCAAGCATGCCGAGGGTGGAGGGAGGCCCTGGCTTGCTCTGCCTCTGTTCCCGTCAGAAGGGTCCAGGCCCCTTGACCGCTCCACTGCAACCCCCCCTGCTCCTCACCTCCCCCGGATCTCCCCCTGCTCCCCGCCCCGCGCCACCCTGGAGCACCAGGTCTGGTGCCGCCCGGCCGGCACACTGCCCAGGCGCTGGGTGAACTGTGACTGCGAGGGAGGGGAGCAGAAGGGGATGGGCCGGGGCTAGCCTCCTCCCCGCTCACCGCACTGCCAGGGAGTTGGGCTGGCTCCTCCGCAAGCCTGTCCTGACCGTGCTCCCTGGCAAGAGCTCGGGGGCCAGAGGGAAGGGTCCTGTGGGCCGGATGTGGCCCATGGGCCGTAGCTTGCCCCCCTCTGATTTAAAGCACTCTCCACACAATTAAACCGAAAGCGATCTTATTACAGATAACTTCTCACTCTCACACCTCCACTCAGAGCTGTCCCCAGGGGATGGTGAATCAGGGAGACAGCTCCGGTTCCCCATGCTTCGGGGGCCCCCGTGCGGCGGCATAATTAACTGGTGCAGCAGGCAAATGGCTGGCTATGGGAGGCTACCCCAGCCTGCCCCTTCCACCCAAGGGAGAGCACACCGGGATGGAGAGAGCACGCGGGCGCTGCTGCAGCCTCCTCAACCCCAGGAAGGCGGGCGGCGTGGCCCCAGTCCTCTGGAGCCCAGCTGCGCTGCTGAAGCAGGGTCTGGGGAAAAGCATGCGCAGGACCATGCCTCGCTGTTGGGGGGGGGGAGGGGGCACCGCCTCCCCCACCTATCCCCGGCGCAGTCGGTCCGGGAAGTGACATCACTTCTGCCCCAGGCCCTGCACGCCCCTAGGGATGGCTCTGCCTCTAATTCATTAAGGACATGGGTATTGTTCCTGCAGCTAGATGGAGACTGCATTACCAAAACTTGTTATTTCATCTCTTGTATTATTTGATCTTGACATTATTGTATTATTTGACCTTGATCTCACAGTCTTCAGGTTTTTGCATAAGCAGTAACCAACCACCAATAAAATGAGTATAATTTAATCCTGGGGAAAAAGGTTTGACTCTGGATTTATACGAAGGACACCAAGAAAGCCAAGAAGTAAGAGCATCACGTGTTTGCTGTTCCGTACCATGCCACACACTGAGATTTTCCATCACATTACTAGGCATCTCAAATGCCCATAAGGGATCATTTAAAAAAAAAAAACAACAACTCTAGGGCCTAAAGACACAGTTTGTTAGAGCTTCCACAAGTGTCTGGAGATATGCGATGGCTAACAGTCCAACAATTCTGACTTAATATTTCAAACATTCATCCTAAGCACACAACCTTACAGGATGAATTTACTCATGAAAAAGCCCTGAAGGAAATAAATTCTTCATGCTACTGCTAATAAAAGTTTATCTGAATCTAGAGATGTTTATGCCGCTTTCCTGAATTCACAGTTAATGGCAAAAACTACTGAGCTAACACTCAACAGGTCTTTTGAGGAAAACTTTAAGACTTAATTCACAACAAACCATGAATATAATGCTATAAAAGGTACCAATCAATGTAGGCATTTGTTTATTCAGAATTAGAACCCAGCCAACTGGATTTTAGTGGCCAACTTCACGTGGGCCACTAAACCAGATAAAATGACTGCCAATATTGACCTAGTCTGGATCTGAACAGGATCTAGAGGTAAAAAGCTCTGGTACTCCATTACAGTTCCCTTGCATATGAAATTTAAAAAAAAATAATGGCCAAGAAGATCGCTCAATTACTCAATCTGCAAGTCCTGTTCTACCAAGAAGAGCAACCTTGAGCTACAGAAACCACTAAACTCTCCTTTTATTATGAGAGCATGGAAAGAATCTAAAACCGTTTAAATGAAGAGAAAAAAAAACGGTGTGAATATTTTTCTCTTTGGATAAATGTCTTATTGCACTTCAATTTAAATATCCTCCCCTCAAGTTTGCTGCAATGTGGAAAATCTTTCTGAATAATGCACAATTGGTATAATGTTCCAGTGGTAAAGATTACTGCATACCTTCATCATTAAACTTCAGACCAGCAGCTATTGCTTCATCCATTGTGCTGGTTGATTCTATCAACTAACAAGAGAAAAATTAAGTGATCAGTGACAAATTAAACAGAAAAAAGTTGCTAAGTAATGGTTGAAACTATTATTTCACTGCTTTACGACATTTATAGTAAAATCTAACCACAATAACATGCAGTGATTAATCAAGCCAATTAGAGGGGCCTGTTATTGCCTTGGAAGCACTGCAAAAATATGGATAGAAATACTACTTTTCAGGAACGCAAGTTTCACTTGTTGCATTTCTTGAATACTCTGAACATATCAGAGCTCACTTTTAATTTCTTCAAAAACTTACCTAGTTAAAATTCCAGCACTGGAAGCTTAAAATTCCATCTAGTTGTAAATATAAACACTCTGTATTTAGTAGTTTTATTACTTCATGCTAAGTCTTTCATATCTGTTGACTTCCTGGATCATGTGCATAAATAGGGTATCATGTGCTACTCTGGGAGTTTATATGTATTCTTATTCCCAATCCTAAGAACAGACCCTTCTCCCTCCCCTTACATAATATCTTGCATTTGAGGCTCTCAGTATTTTTATAAACTTGTGAACGTCAACACCTCTAAAGTGTTGCATTCATTTTACAAATGAAGTAATTTGCCAAAGGTCATAGAACAAGCCAGTCACATAGATGGAAATACAATTCAGGAGTGCATGTTCTCACCCCCAGTTTTAATCATTACACAATGCCTCAGGTTGATGACAATAGGGTAGCTGTCTTAAGCAAGCACCACTCACCCTAGAATCATTCATTTCCTGAGGGCTTGGTAGGACAGGCTGTACAGGAACTTTCATGTAAAAACAGGTGACAAAAGGACTGATGTTTACAATCCCAATTGTTGTTTACAATGTCCAGAAGAATGTTGCACAGGTGCAAACAAGGGCAAAAATTAGCCCTGCCATTAGAATTTAGAAAATTCTGTTGATAGGGAACCAAAACAAAAGCCTTCTTAGTCTCTCAGTCAATTGAATGCAGTCAATTCAGCTAACAGGAGTTCCAGTTAACAGCTAAAAAAATTGTAACTTAAGTCAGCAGATATGATTGAACACAAATCAGGGAGCAGATCTACTGGGTAATAAAGTGTAATATTTAGTCATTTTTCTGACCTTTACTGCACTGTGAAGTGCAATTCTTCCCTGAAAAGTGACACTAAAAACAGCACTTTGTATTTTCCAGGCCAAATTTACTCAGCATACAAGTAAGAAAGAAGATTTCTTACTATTAATTAGCGTCCTTCACAATGATCCTCTGCACACTCACATTATTGAGAGTATGCACCTACAGCTGAGCAGAGTGGCACTCTCAAGAAACAGTGCCAGTTGGAGCATCCCCGTACCTCAATAAACCACCAATCCACTTGGAAAGATACTAGGCATTGAGGACCAAGATAGATTTCAGGAAGGACCCAGGAAGGCTATGGTGAAAGGAGACTCAATTTGGCTGACTTAAATGCCAAGGCTTTAAAAACTAAGCTAGCAGAGATTTATTCCCTAAAACTACACTAAAACAATAAAATGTAACCATATACAGACATTAAAGTTAATTTTTGTTTTAGAACTAAGTTTGAGTAAGGGCATCCAGAAGTTCCAGGTTCATACACTGGCACATTTGGAAAGAACGAAGACGATTGAAGCAACTTGCCCCCTTTATAGCACTGCCTCAAACATTTAGAGCTATGGGGTGGGGTTTGTGGGTACTACAACAGGCACAGCTTCTACTACACTGGTTGGCATCTCCCTAACAGTGGTCATGTGCAGAGGCCATTCAAATAACTTCCACCCCGCCCCTTGTCCAACAACCAGTTCTGAACACTCACTTTGACATCTAAAAGTCAAGATGGGTTCTTTCCTATCTACACATCACCAGTGACACCTGTGCCATCTTCAAATTAAGCCTTCACTTATTATTTCAATTCTCAGAAAGGAAGCATAGCCCAGTGGTTAGCATGTTAACCTGGGACAAGAAATGCACACATTTGATACCCTGATCCATCACAGCCTACTTGTGTGACCCTGAGAAAGTCATTCACAGAATCATAGAATATCAGGGTTGGAAGGGACCTCAGGAGGTCATCTAGTCCCCCCCCCTGCTCAAAGCAGGATCAATCCCCAACTGTTTTTTTTTTTTTTGCCCCAGATCCCTAAATGGCCCCATCAAGGATTGAACTCACAACCCTGGGTTTAGCAGGCCAATGCTCAAACCAATTCAGTTCACTCGTCAAGTGGGGAGAATATTTCCCTGTCTCACACGGGTGCAATAGGATGAATACAGTAAAGATTGAGAAGTGCTCACATACTATGGCAATGGGGGCCATATACAAGTGCCATAGATAGATACATGTGTGTAGCTCCATTGAAGTTGCACAGGTGTGACTGAGGTCTTAATCTGAGGAAGGTGGCACAGAATACATTTCAGCTAAAGGAGGGTAGAGCTGTCAATCATTATGTAGTATAGATAGGCTTAAAAGCAAGCATCCATACTGTGATAAGCAGACAACAGGCATTAGGCAGCCCACCTGAGACTAATGAGAAATATCAGAGATGTAGCTCTAATTGAAAATGAATTGAAGCTATTTGGAAATTCTCCTTCATGAAGTCCCAAAGCAGTAGTCTAGGTTTCATTTTCATTGCAGAGAACTAAGGACTAGGACTATGAAAAAAAAAATTCTAGGATAACCTGTGGGACTGAAGTCCATGCCTTTGACTATACTAGAAAAAAAATTATATAGTGGCTGATGATCACCAAACATCGGTTGCCTCACTCTGCCTGTCTAAATGGGGCTGATGATCATTTTTACTGACAGAGAGGAAAGGGCTAACCTCTATTAAACAGTTGTTTCTTTCTGTAAGTTATTTAGCAAACTGTTTAGCCTCATTTTCACCAACATGTTTTAAATATATTTAAATAAGAATGTAAAAGCTTTCAAGGGGAACTTTTTAGGACCGTGGTAATTAAATTTTAAAATCTTATCAAATGGAAATAAGCTTTTGCTAAAAAAGAATTAAGAAGTTCTTCTTCCATTCACATGGAAGGCACTAAAAACACATATTGCCTAGGAAATAGGCTGCAAAACCAAACAGTATTACTTGTAATAATTCTTGGTCACTTCTTTGCGGAAAGAGTTCCTTCAGTGTTTGGAGTTTAGCATCTCTGATGTCTTCCTCCTCATCCATGTCTGGCAACTGGTCTGCATCATTTGTATATGTAAATGTAGGTGGTACATCTTCAGCCTCTTCATCATCAGACTGTTCAGAGCTACCATATAAGGAAAAGAAATAATAGGACTTTTTTCTTCTTAGGAATTCTGTTTTAGCATCCCCATAATTGTTCAGTGAAAATGTAGCACCACATAAGCTTATATTCATATAAGGTAGCTGTTAGTGTATTACCCTTCTTTGAAAGAAACTGGAAACAATTTAATAGAACTGAAACCACACATCACTGGCAGCACAGTTTAACAACAGAAAAAACTTCTCTTGAACAAAGGCCTTATTCATTCACCATAAAGCAAAAAAAATAGCACAAATCCAATTTTTTTGCAAGATATCTTTGAGTCTTGCAAGTTACTAATATCCAGCATAGCAGTGGATCTGGTTGTATCTTACTTGTTATCCACTGTTCAGAACAAAATGAAGCATCTACAATTCACAGAAGTCTACTGTACATTAGCTTAGCAATACCAATAAACCCATTTTTGATTTGAGGGTGGCAATCTGGGGTTAGGGCTGTTACCTATTGTGTTGCATAGCCATCCAACATTACAGCAGCCAATAGAATGTTTTACATCAATAGGTAATGTCACTATCTGTGTCTTGTCAGTACCATCAAAGTTCACTCTTTCACAAATGGAAATAGATTAAGGCATTATCTAAACTCAAATTCAGGCTCAAAAGGTCCAATATAAATTTCCCCCAGAGATAAGAGGATAGTGTGGACAGGGCCTTTACAAACTCACTCAGGGAAGGATCAAATCCATATCCAATATGTCATCTAAATTAAAAAATGAACCACATGAAAAGACCTACTTACAATACTTTAAATATATTAAAACGTGGCTCCATCTTGCAGTATAGACAGAACCTAATTTTGTTTTAACTATGTCCCTGAGATATACCAAAGCCTTGGATATATCCAAATATATAAATCTATGAAGGCTTACGCATAACTGGCAACCCTACAAAATGGAACCACATTTCAGTTTATCTTTAGTTTTGTAGCACAGGCAGGACCTAAACATACTTATACAGAGGATAGCATCACAACAACTTAATTTAGCTAAGTGTCTGCATAGAGATGGGGCGAAGAGAGTAAAAACTCAAAAATGTTGTTGTTTCCAACTGACTCTGGCTACATATTTTTCCATTAGACTGCAATATGTGAATAACCATCATGCTGAGAAAGTGTAATAAAGTATCTGTAAAAGATGCATGCAAAAATTTGAGAGAATATTTTCATTTTTCATCAGATACTACCCTGTTCTTGCCTACAACTAATGCTTAAAAAGCTAAGCAAACCTAAAATACACCTGGCCAACAGCACAAAGCTGTAATAAAGCAAAAAATTCCTTTCCAACTTCAGCTAGGAATCAGTTTATGCCCTTAAGCGGGAGGGTGAGTATCCCTTGTAACATTTAAATACAGTGAGGCTGCAAATTATAGTTCTATTAATATATTTTAAATTCCTTTTGCTTCAGTACCTGCAGGAAAAGAATATTTGCATTAAGTCCAAAGAAAAAACAAGAACAGCAACCATTTGAAAGGTTATATTTCCTAAATAAGGTGCTTACCAATCATATCATTTATAAAATCACAAGTACTTGACAAGAAGGTAGTAAATAGTTAAGGACATCATAAATCTTACATTGCCCACATGATCACATTCTTATTGAACGTGAAGAAAAGCATACTTAATCAAAACATGGCAAGTTTAATTCTGACCCATGAACTGAATTTTTTTAATATATTCTAGGCAGCTCAGGTAGTGACACCTATAGTTAAGGTTGCCTGACACTTTGCATTAAAAAGATTTTATTTTCAGTGGTTTATAACTTCACAAAATTAATTGTGAAGGCTAAAATTTTCCATGATAGGTGTCTGCGTCAAACTGACATGGTTATAAAAGTTTTAGCTAAAACAATTTAGCTGTTTCAGCAAAAAAGATTAAGGAAAAATACATTTTACCTACGATAAAAAAAAATTAACCATTTTGCTGAAAAACTAACAGCAACACACATTGGAGCATGGATTTGAAATTTGGCAAAGGTGGTTGTGGGGGGATTGCTCAGGTATCAGAATTACCATCCCTGTAAACATCCCCCCAAATTGGCAAGTAAGATCCTGCTGAAAAAAAATTGCAGTTTGCTCAGTTAAGACTTGTTAGCATTTGACAGCTAAATTCTCTGAAGACCATTTGCATGAGCATGCTCCAACCTCAAACAGTTCCCACATACCAACATGACTGCATGTGCTATCCCACAGCGCAACTGAGCATGCTCCCAGCCCAGGAATTCAGGGGCTGAGCAGGACTTTCGCCACAATTGTTACTAGCAGGGGCCAATATAGCACCAGACACTGGAACAGAGAGAGATATTCTCTCCTGTGCTCTCAATGGTCCCCATACTGGCACAATGGCAACTTGGAAAAGATCTATGTAGCCTCACTCAAATGCAGAGGCGCGAGGAACAGAGGAGGAAGAGATGCCGGGGAAAGGAATGAGGAGCAGGAGCTCAGGGGAAAGGAAGGATAAAAATCTGGGGGAAGAGGGATTAAAAGATGAAGTAGGGGCTGATATGAAAAAGCTTGTGCCTCCTCCACCACACACCTTCCAACTTCAGCAAATAATGAAGCAGGGATCCTATAAACAGGTGTTTCTCAACCTTTTTGATACCAGGGACTGGCTTGCTACCTTCCTAAATGGTGTCAGAGATCTGAGGAACTGGCGCTGGTCCATAAACCGGTTGTTGAAAAACACTGCTATAGACTTCAGAGTGGTAGCAGTGTTAGTCTGTATCAGCAAAAAGAACGAGGAGTACTAATGGCACCTTAGAGACTAACACATTTATTTGAGCATAAGCTTTTGTGGGCTAAAACCCATTTCACTGGATGCATGCAATGGAAAATACATTAGGAAGATATTTATACACACAGAGAACATGAAAAAATGGGTGTTGCCATACCAGCTATAATGAGACTAATCAATTAAGGTGGGCTATTATCAGCCGGAGAAAAAAAATTTGTGGTGATAATCAGGATGGTGTACTTCCAACAATTGACAAGAAGGTGAGAGTAACAGCAGGGGGAAAAATTAGCGTGAGGAAATAGTTTTACTTTGTGTAATGATCCATCCACTCCCAGTCTTTATTCAAGCCTAATTTAATGGTGTCCAGTTTGCAAATTAATTCCAATTCAGCAGTTTCTCGTTGGAGTCTGTTTTTGAAGTTTTTTTGTTCGAGTATTGCAACTTTTAAGTCTGTAATTGAGTGACCAGGGAGGCTGAAGTGTTCTCTAACTGGTTTTTGAATGTTATAATTCTTGATGTCTGATTTGTGTCCATTTATTCTTTTGGGTAGAGACTGTCTGGTTTGGCCAATGTATATGGCAGGGGGGTATTGCTAGCACATGATGCCATATATTACATTGGTAGATCTGCAGGTGAACGAGCCTCTGATGGTGTGGCTGATGTGATTAGGTCCTACAATGGTATAGACCTTGAATAGATATGTGGACAGAGTTGGCAATGGGCTTTGTTGCAAGGATAGGTTCCTGGGTTAGTGTTTTTGTTGTGTGGTTGTTGGTGAGTGGAGCTATAAAACAACAGCCTCATTCACTACATAGACCCAATTCAGTGCACGGAATAGGCTGTGCTCTGGAGATCAATGAGGCTGTGGTTCTGTGAATCATATAATTAACAACTGCATAGACAACCTTCCTTCTGGCATTTCCCTGCTTTTTGCAAATTGTAAACAAAACGAAGTTTCTAAAAACAGCAAACCATAAAAAAAAATTCCATTGCACAAAATCATATTAAACTATAGGACGTCATGAAGTAATGCAAAAATTAAAATAAAAAAATTCAAAACAAAATTTCAAAATTCAATAAAAGGATTTTTTCCAATGTAAACAAATTTCCAAGTTTTTCACAATTGAAATTTCACAAAAAAGCTTCTATTGGTTGAAATTCCCGCCCCCCCCGACAAAAACTTTTGACAAGTTTTCTGACAAGCTCTAATTGTAACCTTTAGATCCCCAGCACACTTCTGCCACTTGAGCTAATGGTGTAACAAATAGCAGAAGTAGGTTTTCATCCTCTACGTGGCTCAGCCACTCCCTTTCCAGTGACTTCACAGCTATTTATTGGATAGCAAAGATATGCTGAGACTCAGGAATCCTGGCTTCTATTCCATGGACTGTGTTCTAATGGTTACAGACCCTTATGCCATTGTCCCTTCCCATGTCTCTGTCTGGCTCAAAAGCTTTTCTCTCTCACCAACAGAAGCTGGTCCAATTAAAGATCTTACTTCACCCACTTGGTCTCTACAATAGGACCCGTCATACGTTCAACAATTCTGCAAGTCAAGCCATGTATGCATAACTATTTTTGTGCTGAACTCTCTTCACTATATAAAGTTTATTATATATTATGCCCTGAAGGAACACCTGACCATCTATCAACAGTGCTTCTTCAGGGGCAGAGAAACTGAAAAGCATTGTGTAATTCTGAAGAGTTCCGAAAGCTATGTTATAGAAATAATTTCCATTAACTTGAGGCCTCTGGTCACTCGACAATTTTGGCACTACATGAGAACTAATCTGTCTATAAAACCAGGATGAAAGCAAGCAAGCTAAAGCAAAAGCCAATATATAAATACTTCAGCTAACCTTTTAAAATTGAATTTTGAGAAATCCTCTTGGTGGTGCTTGAATTCACTGAAAATTGCCCATAATGTGATAAATACCAGAAGTACCATTGAAACTGGGATTTCTCCAGTGAACTAGGTAGTACTCAGAGGAAGACAACTCTTTAAAGAGGTGAAGCTTTTTGAGACGAAAGCTCAATACAGCCTGGTTATTGGAGACATTCAAAACCAACATGGCATTTAGTCAGCACACATGAAATGAATTTTTTTTTTTAAGTAGAGCATTAAAATTCAGAAACTCACAAATGAAGATAATGAATACTACAGAAGATTGGTATGGTAAGGACTTACATTACAATCACCTCGCTCATGGGAACACTGTCTTGTTTTGTACTGGAACAGTTTGGTGGTCCTTGATCCTCACTATCTGAAGACACATCAATGAATTGTATCCCTCTTCGATTCTTGAAAGATGATGAATTCTTTGTCCTCTGTGCTTCCGGGGTTTCTGGGACACTGGAGTCTTCTGTACAAGCCATTTGGAGGATGGAGAAAAGAATATAAATTCAAAATGTTTCATTGCAACTAAAGCCTCACCACAAAAGTTATGATCTTTCATTGAAAAACACTGACTATTCAAATAAAGCTTACACCATTAGGTGTTGATGACTCCCCAGAATCCATGGGTTTCCCATCAGCAGACTTCTCATTTAAGTTCTCTAGTTGACCAAATTCTTATGTTTGAATACCCAATAGCTTTAAACACAAAAGCCATTCAAAAACATGAATATGGCTTTTAAAGTGAACAACTACCGGGTTACAAGCCAAACTTGTATAACCCTCCTTGTGACACCTGTGACTTCATGGTTAGGCTGACCAATTAATTACTTGACCAACTTGGTCTTGGATTTGCTGAGGCATACAGCAGACTTAAATTTCCACATGAACAATGGCTTTGAATCAAACTCAAGATCTCCCGGTCACCCCAGACGTCATGGAACTATTACAAGTGGCTTTTCACTCTACTCAAAAGTGCCCAGACTACCTTAATTCTTGGGTTGTGTGATCAAGTTCCTCCTCTACCTTGGTGGGTCCTGTGTTTATTGGCGGATTTTGCTCACCTCAGAGATTCACAGTAACCCGCAGTTTGGCCACTTTCGTGGCTCAAATTTGCTGTTCACTCAGATAACCTCATCACCGGCCAGTATGGGGAGAAAAGAGTAAGAACAATCCCCGCAGTTTTTACTGATCCACCATGTGGGTCGGGGAACAGCCCAGAGACCTGCACCTCTGGTGGAACCTCCTGGGTTGGATCAGGAGTTGGAAGGTTTGGAGGGGAAACCCAGACCCACCCTCTACCCTGGGTTCCAGCCCAGGACCCTGTGGACTGCAGCTGTCTTGAGTGCCTTCTGGAACAGCTGCGCGACAGCTACAATTCCTTGGGCTACTTCCCCATGGCCTCCTCCCAACACCTTCTTTGTCCTCACCACAGGACCTTCCTCTTGACGTCTGTTAACGCTTGTACTGCTCAGTCCTCCAGCAGCACGCCCTCTCACTCCCAGCTCCTTATGCACACGTCACTAACTGGAGTGAGAGCCTTTTTAAACCAAGTATCCTGATTAGCCTTAATTCATTCTAGCAGCTTCCCAATTGGCTACAGTTGTCCTAATTAGCCTGCCTGCCTTAATTAGTTCTAGAAAGTTCCTGAGTGTTCTGGAGTAGTCCCTGTTATCTTACCCAGGGAAAAGGGACCTGCTTAACCTGGAACTAATGTATCTCCCTTCGACCACTCTCTTGTAGCCATCTGGCCTGACCATGTCACAGTTGGAAATTAAGTCCCTTTGATTTGAAAAGGAGCACGTGTAGACACTGCAGCTCTGAGCTCTGTTTTCCAGCTAAACAAATGGCTCCCTACATCTCCTTTCCTTCTAAAATCTTTAGTGGCATAAATCCAAGATGGGGTCAGAGGGAGTAGATCTCCACTCAAGCCAAGCGTTCCGCATGCCTCCAGTCAGTCCTTTTTACTCATTCACTTGAGCGGATGATGGAAGTGGTGATTGGAGCACCACAGAATAGTAAGTTTGAGATTTAAGGTGTATTTGGTGAGGGTGGGTTCACTTACACTACAAGCATATCTGTAGCTTAGGCCGTGTTTACACCTGACAGCTTACAGTGGCACAGCTGTACCGATGTAGCAGTGCCGATGTAAGATCGCTCGTGTAGCTGCTCTATGCCAATGGGAGAGAGCTCTCCCATCAACATAATAAAACCATCTCAATGAGTGGCAGAAGCTATGTCAGCAGGAGAAGCTCTCCCACCAAAATAGCGCTGTACACACTATCACTTATGCCAGTGAAAATTATGTCACTCAAGGGGGTGTTTTTTCACACCCCCGAATGACCTAAGTTTTGCCAACATAAGTAGTAGTGTAGACATAGCCTTAAATGTCATTTCACTATGCTGTTTGTTCTTTTTCAGATACCTGTAGTCAGGGAGATATTGCTCAGGCAGCTCCCATGCCAGTATGTCATACTCCGGTTACAGTCCACACTGCTAAAGCCCAGCAACCCAAGCCAGCTGATAGGGGCCAGCCACAGGCTTTTTATTGCAGCATAGACATGCCCTTACATTACACACCAAAATGTGCACTTGGACTAGGTGGGAATATTCCACATATTCATTTTGCCGATGGGTTAAAGAATAGTTTTAAGTGGTTTTCCAAAGAACACATAGGAATTATGTGGCAGTCAAGAACCCTGATCTGACGTAGAAGCCTCATGTCTTACCCACATATTCTAAAAAAAAATTTTTTTTTTTAATGAGCAGAACTAGAAAAAACTGCTCAAGACAGTATGGCAAGCAACTAGAATTTATTCAGTCAAAAGCTGTATGATTTTCTTGATGAGATAAATTACAGACCCTGGAGGCATGCAAGACTGAAGGAGGAGGGAGAGAGCATGCAGTGGAGACTATGACAGCTGTGGAAGGAGTCTGCTGTAAGAAAGCAACCGTGCAGGAAATAAATATAAAATAACCTGCAAGGGACTGTAGCAGTTTTTGACAGAAACTTAGATAAACTAAGTATATGACTTCAAGCAATTTACTGACACTGTGGAAACTTCTAAAAAACAGTATGAATTTTAAAACGTGAGGGGGAAAAACTGCCCATTAAATTGTAAAATGTATTGCTAACACATAACAGGGTTTTGTACAACAAGGCAGAGTCACTAGAAAATCAAGTAAAAATTTGAACTTGGATCCTGGCACCATTGAACGAGTGGACCGTGACCATAACCAAGACACCTTCAATATTCTAGGGGAAAACTAAGTCATCAGCCATTAATAAAATGTAACCTTTGCATGGGCCAAGGTCTAACAGCAATTGAAAGGCCACAGGATTTAAGATAACATTGGAATATGCTAATACAAAAGGTTCTAAAGGGGAAAAGGTTTTGTATCATTCCTAGCATTTGTCCATTGAGATGAAAAAGGAAGAAAGTTCCTCTTGTGGAGGATGGCCTTGTGCATAGCTAAAAGATGAGACAACAATCCACTCTTCTCACTAAATTAAAAAAGTAAAAATAGAGAACATGTTTATTTTCTGGGATTCTGTTTCAATAGAGAAACTCTTCTTTTATCAAACTGATAAAATTCTCTGGAATGTTTAGACTTGTAGTGAAACTTAGAGCAGGTCTACATTACACCCTAAGTCAATATAACTTACATCGCTCAGGGGTGGGAAAAAGCTCTCTCCACCCCCAAATCCTCGAGAGACAAGTTTTGCGATACCTACATCAGCACTGTGTCAGCAAGAGGCTCTCTCCCACCAACATACCTTCCACTTCTCACGGAGGTGGAATAATTATGTCAATGGGAGAGAGCTCTCCGGTTGGCATAGCAAGTCTTCACCAGACGCGCTACAGTGGTGCAGCTGTGCCAATGTAGTGCTGTAGGATAGCCTTGCCCTTTGATTTACTGCCAGCAGTTTGATCTCGCTATCATTTTGTGATATACTTGTTTGCTCCAGTGACAATAATTTTTTCTATATGCTACTGTTCACTCTACAGCAACTGTTACGTGCCAATCTTATGATGCTTCATCTGATATAAAAAGTATTATTAAACAGAAAAGCTTTGGAAATTCAGTCTAGTTAGTGTAGATTCAAAATGGTGCACACACATGCAGGAACCGGTGCTTTCCAGCCTTCTGCTATCAAGTAAGAAACTGCAGAATCCCAACTACGCTGTGAAATTTGACTGCAAAACATAAGCTTTTGTTTTTAAAAAGTTTTTGGACAGCATGACGGCAATATGGTACCCAAACGGGAAAGAGAAACCAAAACGGTGACTTCATGAATCTGCAAGCCGCTGGTAACAGCAGAGATGTTAACCTTGTTCTGAGACTTTTACGGAGGTTAATGAAAATAGCTAGGGAGGTTGTCTGCAGCTCTCTCTTTCACCCCTCCCTTGAAAAAACCAGGACTGCTCCCCCTTCTTCCCCACTCTATAGCCAAAGGGAGGGGGGCACACCTGGGCCACCAAGCCACCCCTGTTGCGCTCCCCCACCTGCACCCCAAACAGGAAGAAGGGGAGGACAGGCCCTAGGAAAGCTGCCTTCCTATGCCGCCTAGGTCTTTTTTAATTAATTAATGGAGATATCCTATCTCCTAGAACTGGAAGGGACCTTGAAAGGTCATTGAGTCCAGCCCCCTGCCTTCACTAGCAGGACCAAGTACTGATTTTGCCCCAGATCCCTAAGTGGACCCCTCAAGGACTGAACTCACAACCCTGGGTTAAGCAGGCCAATGCTCAAACCACTGAGCTATCTCTCCCACCTTCACCAGTCCCAGAGCTGGACCTCCTGCTAGGGATGATACTCCTTCTCCTCTCCCTCCTCTCTCACATTCGGCGCTGCCTTCTCCTGCCCCACAGACTGTGCAGTGAGGGTCTGATAGGAGACAAGCCGCAGCAACTGTCAGTGGGGCTTGGGACGTCAGATTCACTGCATGATCCCCAGGCTGCACACTGTACTCCAACTGCCTGCGTGGATCCTACTGCATTGTTCAGTGTGCGTTTTTACTTTATATATAACAAAATTGCATATGAATTAACATGTGCTTGCAAAATTAGTAGGTTTAAGCCTGAATTAGTAATTTCATAATTATATGTTAAAAAAAAATCGGGAGGATTTCTAAAAATTGGGGAGGGTTGGCATCTCTGATGTTACTCAATTTAGTGTTAACTCTCATTTTAATGACAGAAGTTTATACAGGTTGAATCTCTCTGGTCTGGCAACATCCGTGGTACAGCATAATTTTATTTTATGTTTTTTGTGCTTTATCTACTTATTTCCTTGTGCCAATACAGGAAAATTGTGTAACACTAACACTTTGTTATGAAGAGAGCCGGTAAACCTTGGCTAGGCGGTGTTGCAAGCACTGTTCCATTTATTCGCCTCGGCGATATAAAAATAAAAAGAGACCCGCTCGCCACAATAGTGGCCTCCCGCAGTTTGGCAAATTTTCTG